CGGGGGATCGCAATCACCTCGACGGCGCCGAAGCTGATGCGCTTGCGCTTCAGCCCCGGCCTCACGCCATCGGGCATCCGCGAACTCCTCCCCGTTTCCCCCCACACTAAATACTACTACTAATAATCCTACTAAATCGATGGATGGGCCTCTATATCGGGGGTCTAATGTCGGCCTGGATGTCTATATCTATAGGGAGAGGGATCTATTTATCAGGCGATCGATCGCACTATCGATCGATGGATGGGGGTGTTCCGTACCCCGGAGGATGGCACAGTCCGTGAGTTGGAAAAAAGCCCCCTACGACAGCGACGAAGCGGCGAAAACGACCTTGACGGATTAAACTACCCCCCAAATAAATCAAAAAAGGACCCACAACAATCATAATAATACCCAAAACATACGAATCGAATTCAGGTCGCCGCCAGGGCAAACCCAAATGAATCCCATCGATCCCGTCCCAGTCAATAAATTGTAGTAAACATCATTCTTAAAGTATGAGGAGGACATCAAAGAGGCACCCAAGCCCCTTTCTTTAGCGTTTCGCTACTCCTTTTTAGATATCAGGCAGAACAAATGGTGAAAAAAAAAAGACTAAACATAACTAATTGTACACTTCGCCCCCGTTCAGGCTTTGGATGCCGTGAATAAGCCCGGGGGGAACCCTCACCCGAACCGTCTATCCATGGTTGGGCGTTTCATCTTCCAGTTTCACCTTCAAAGAGGGAAGAGGCCCCGAAAGGGGAAATCCTAATCCACCGGAGGCGTGCAATCCGGACAGTACTACAACTACTACTAAAAAAACGAAAACAACAAAGGGGACATCGATCGCCGCATGAGGTTTAATTCGGTCTGCAAAATGGTAGTAGGGATCGCCTGCCACGACGTGCGCACGGGTTATCGGCCGGGCCCAAACGTTTCCGAAAGAACCCGCCCGTTCGCCGCGAAAGTGATCCCACTTAAACGGCACCGATCTTCAAATTCTCCGCCTCCTTTTGACCGAGTGTGTATATCAAAGAAGTCAAAAT